GGAGTACGAGAACACAGCCTGCCAAGCTGCACCAACAGGTTCAAGATTCCCTGACATTTGGCGGAAGAAAGGAGGTGGGACAGTTCCTGCAATGCCAATTTCGGTTTGCCAGCTACAATGTCCTTTCCCTTCTCGATCCCCAACCGCCGCCTATGAACAAAGAAACCGGCCGTGCAAAATTGTTACGTGACCAGGTGCAGAATCAAGGCCTCCACATAGTTGGATTGCAAGAATGTAGATCCACACAGGGCACCGTGCATTCCGATACGCACATGCGTCTCTGTAGTGGAGCCGAAACTAATGGAACACTAGGAGTAGAACTTTGGGTCTCAAAAAAGGTTCCAGTACAAGGCCACAAGTGTCTGCATGTGAGAGACTTTGCAGTATTACATGCAGACTCCCGATGCCTACTAGTCCGCTATGACGGAGATTTTGGTGCTTTCATCATTGTTGTTGCTCATGCACCTCATGCGGGCCACCCCGCACAAGAGAGGAAGGCATGGTGGGAGCAGTTGACTCAGTTGGTCAGAGCCCATCGCAAGAGTCTGCAGGTCATTGCCATGATTGATGCCAATGCAACATGGGCGGGACCAGCAAACGAGCAGCTAGGAGACCTCTGTGAAGTAACACCAAATAATAATACTCCTATGTTTGTGGATTTCGTAGCACAACTCGAGCTGTTTGCACCTTCGACGTCTCCTGATTACCAAACTGGACCTTGGTTCACATGGACACACGCTCGGACGGGCAAAGAACACAGAATCGACTATGTGCTCTTTCCGAATTCTTGGGCGGGCTCCTGGATCCAAACCTGGACAGATCCCTCAGTTACCGTGGGGCATGCAGGGGTCGACCACATTGCTACGGTGGCCGAGGTTTACTGGGAACAGAGCAGTTTCAAGGTTAAGAAGAAGACTAGGTACGACCGGGATGCGATTATGCATCCGGACAATCGGCATATAGTTTTCGATATCCTTGACCGATGCCCCCAACCAGAATGGGGAGTTAACGCTAGTGACCATGCTGTCCTGGTTAGCCAGTACTTGCAGGGTGAATTAGAGGATGCCTTCCCAGCTCCCAAAGCTAATATCCCTCAGTACACGACGAATGAAACTCGAAAGATCCATCAAGAATTAGTGTCCGCCAAGAGAGCTGTTACACAGATGCGATTGATTGCACGTTTTCGTACATTGGCCCTGTTCTTTCGTGCTTGGGGGAAGAAAGAGCTCAGGGAGGAGAGTGCAAAATGGACGTACCAATTCAATTGCAGGTGGGCACAGACCACTCAGAAGATCCGTCACCTAGCAGATAGTCTGCGTGTCCGCCTGCGGAAAGATCGGTCAGAATTTCTTGAGGCTCTTGCGAGTGAGGTGAATGACTGCCCTCCTGGAGAGATGTTTAAGAAATTAAGGCCAATCTTAAAGCCATCTAAGAAGCAGTCACAAGTTGTCCAACCGCTCCCAAAGCTTGTAGGCATCGATGGTGAAATGATTCTGAGCCGTGCATTGCAAGAGAAGCGATGGACTGAACATTTTGCATCCATCGAGGCAGGACATGTGGTAGATGCAAGACAATTTGTCCGGCAGCAGCTTCAGAGGCAAACAGACCGATGCAAGCCCTCCAGCTTCTCGAGTGAGGACGTCCCGACGCTGACCATGATCGAGCGTGCCATTCGATCAGCTAATCGAGATCGGGCTACGGGACCAGATGGAATCCCAGCAGAAATTTTCAAGGCCATACCTGGGAAAGCGGCCAAATTGCTGTATCCCCTAGCGCTAAAGCTTGCACTTAGAGTTGAAGAACCAGCCTCATGGAAAGGAGGATACCTGTTCCCTCTCTACAAAGGGAAAGGTGCGATGTGCGAATGTGCGAATCACAGGGGCATCCTGCTAATGGATGTGATGGGCAAGCTTACTAGGTCAGGTCTGCGTGAGTGGATTAACAGCCCTTACCTGTGCAACGGGCACCCCATGCAGCTGGGAGGCCGGCCACACCAGCAAGCACAGTTTGGCGCCCAGCTCACCCGCTCCTTCCTGAGGTGGCGAAAAGCATGCAACAGCAGTGCCGCAGTACTATTTGTCGATATCGCATCAGCCTTTTACAAAGCGCTCCGCGAGGTAGCTACTGGGGCAGATGTTTCTGATCAAGATATAGCCAAGGTGGCCCAGCGACTCGGGATTGGGCCGGAAGTGATGCCTGCCCTACATGAAGCATTGCATGGCCGATCGGCCTATGCTACCCTTACTTCTTCGGTTGCAAGACAGCAAGTACTGCAGGAGAGCCTCAGTGGCACTTGGTTCTCAGTCGACGGTAGCACCATTGTTGCTACGGAACAAGGAACAAGACCAGGGGACAGCTGGGCAGATGTCGTGTTCAATGTCTTGTTGTCCCAGGTGTTGCGCAAAACCCAGAAAATTCTCGGTGAGGAGAGCTTAACGACTCCTGTGACTGGTTTTGAACGGTGTGTTTGCCCACAGCCTATCCCAGAGACACAAGTTTCCTTGCTCCAAGTAACATGGGCCGATGACATAGCCATGATGGTCAGTTTACGAGAACCTGCTTCAGTCTGGACAGACCTCCCGAGAGTCACCCAGGTCCTGGTTGATGAGCTGCACGCAATCGGAATGGCAATCTCATGTGGTGTGGCTAAGACCGCAGCCCTAGTCCTATTAAGGGGGGCTGGGTCGGTGGCTGTTCGAAGAAAATTTGTTTCGGCACCCACAAGCCGAATTGCCTATTGTTGCAGAGAAACAAGGTTTACTTTTACCATTAGTGCCACACTACAAACACCTTGGCGGAATCCTGTCTTTTCGTGGAAACCTCGCACAGGAGATTGCTGTTCGCTACGCCAAAGCGAAACAAGCATACTGGAGAGCAGCAAAAACCATTTTTCGTCCGGCTTACATTTCCAGGTCCATTAAAATCCAGCTGTTTCGCACGTTGGTGATGTCGGTTTTTTCCTGGGGCATTGGGGCTTGGCCTGCCCTGACTGCTGCTGACAGCAGAAAATACGCAACATCATATTGGAACCTGTGGAGACTATGTCTGCCGAAATATCAGAAGCTCGCCTCCAAGGGAGCGATTTGCCAATTACTTGACTGCCCGGAGCCTGAGGATGCATTGCAAGCTGCTCGAGCCAGGCATTACATCACCATGTTGCACCATGCACCTGATCCAGTGTGGTCTGTGGTCCACCTTGATCTGGCAACTGCAAAGATGTATCAGGCAGCCATTCAGTGGGTGCACGGGGCACTCAAAGAGAGAAAGGCTTCTCCGGGCTCGAGGCTGAAACAGCCTGCCGTCACCTCTGTGCCGCACAGGGCCCTAGCTGGAAAGCCATGGTTAAAAGGGCCTCTGAGCGATGGCGTCTGTACCGACGTCGTGAATACCAGGTTGCAGATTTCCATCGTAGAATCCTGGGAGCTACCACAAACTCGCATTCCACTTCCAACCCCCAACCACAGGAGGGGTGGCGCCACTATTGCCTGTTGCGCAAGCAAGGATTCGATAAAAAGAATGCCTGGTTTTTACATGCTAACATTCGTCATGCATATCGCACTATGGAAGGAGAAGCCGTTAAGGGAACAACGTGTTGGTGCTGTGCCAAACAATATGCGAGCACACTGTCCCTCAAACATCACCTGCGATATAGCCAAGTGTGTTGCACGTACTTCTGGAAAAATCGAGATGTCCTTTCTGACGAAGGGGGCAATCCGAAGAACCGGCATCCGCAGATGCCATGGGTACGAACGGGAGAACTTGAAGTTTGTGCTCCCGAGTTGATTCAGAGGGACAAGATGCAACTGCGAACTGATTTGAATCGACTACTGTCACAATTTGTCCCTCCCGAACGGGATGAGCATTTTGTAACTGAACTAGCCGATGCCTTCGTTGCCGAAGTAACTAGGGCGATGCCTGTGCAAGATGTGATTGCTGTTCTCCAAGAGATGGCTCTTGCATTTGACAAACCAAACCAAGAGAATATACAACAGGCTGTCCAGCAAGCAATTCGAGCGATCCAACAGCTCTTGCTTGCTCGAGAACCAACAGAATTTCAGCCAGAACTCCTCACTACAGAGGAGGAGAGAAGACGAGTCAGGATAAACCCAGTGAGTGCACGGGCTAGCCTCGTTTTCCGAGAAGTCTTTGTTCTGCATTTGTTCAGTGGAAGACGAAGATCCGGAGACTTGCAAGAGGCACTGGAAGCTCTGTGCCTCCCTGAAGGCACCGCCATGTTCGTCATTTCTCTTGACGTTATGGTCTCAGCCCAACATGGTGACCTCACTAATCGTGAACAGCAGGAGGCAATACTCCAAGTGATCCGAGCAGGTGCCATTGCGGCAGCCTTTGCAGGACCCCCTTGCGAAACGTGGTCGGTTGCCCGGTTTGTAGCTGTACCAGGGCATCACAAGCCACCGAGGCCACTCAGAACACGTTCGTATCCTTGGGGGTTGGTAGATATTAGCCTCCGAGAAGGCCAACAGGTGGAGATTGGCAACCAGCTCATGGGATTCGCCGTTCTCGTCATGCTGGAAGTTGCCATCAGTGGTGGCTTTACAGTCCTTGAACATCCGTTGGACCCCTTTGAACTTCGAACTACACACAAAGATGCGCCAAGTGTCTGGGGCACGGCTCTGATGCAATGGCTAGAGCAAGCGGAGCTCTTTCACCATCTGAGAGTTATGCAAGGACACTTCGGCGCTAAAAGCGCCAAACCGACAAACCTACTCGTAGCCGGACTCCCTGCCGAAACAACTTCGGCTTTAGAGAAGGTGAGTAGGACGACTAGTTGTCCCCAAACTTCATCGATCGGACTTGGAGACCGTGGCTGGGCTACGAGTTCACTTAAAGAGTATCCTAGAGACTTCTGTTGTTTCTTGGCTAAGATGTTCGATCGATGGATGTCAGGCGCAACTCGTAGGTCGGGCCCCCCACCAGTGGATGTGCATTGGCTAAAGGCTATGCATATCACTGAAGTGGATCAGTACTGTAAAGAAGGGCCCGACTTCAATCCGCTCCTAATTCAGAATTCGCATCAGCAAGGCGCTGAGTCTTAGGACGCCATGCGCACCAAGAAAGAAAGAAAGAAAGTCCAGGGTCTTCCTCAACTGGGCAGCACAGTGGGCTCCCCACCCAGTTCGGCCCACCCAGTTTTGGGACCGGCCAGTGGAGCTCCAAACAGCTGCGGCGTGTCCTCGAGGTCCAGCGGTGCGGCCGAAGCGCGGCGGCTATGAGCGCCAACACGTCTGGTCTGGGTGAGTCGGGTCGAGTCGCGAGGTCATCACTTGGACGACCAGACTTGGGTGGCAAGATGTGACATGTTGGCCAAAAAAAAACCGATCAATAAGTCACTTCTTAAGGAATTGCATCGAATTAACTGTACATCAGAACACAAGCGTGCTGCTTGCTGAGGCCTTGGGGTGGTCCACAGTTGGCAATCATAACATATTCATGTGCAAGTAAAACCAAGGGCCAACTTGGGGTTTTCACTAGATCCCACCCAGGACTCATTGACAGGTTTGTTGGTTTTCATGGGTTACTGGGTCACGGCTTTGCATGGGTCTCAGCGACGGACTGTGCCTTCCCGGCCACATAGAGTGCTGCGCTGGCGTTCATCAAGACCATCTCGCGAACTGCCACGCGCCCCCTGGAGAAGCGAATCCAAAACCAAAATCTTGTTGGTTAGTGATTCCCCCAATTCCAGGCAACTAATGATGCTATTGGAGCAATTTGATGCTACTGCCAGCATGTGAGCCAAATTAATTTTGGGAGCTTTCGGCTTCCATCTAACATCTATCACAAGCAGGTCTGCATGGTTCTCTAAAAATTATCACTCGACACCATTTCCGTGTGAGGAAGCAGCACTCTATGAATTAGTGGCTTCTTCAAAGGAAGAAAATGATAGCAAAGCTGCTCCATGTTGGTGCCGATGGTCTGGATCAAAGAATTTGAAAGGGTACTTGTAGTGGAGGCTTGGCATTACTTTCAACATCTTTCAACAGCTGGGAACCTGAAAAAGCAGGGAAAAGGATCAAAGTTGGAACATCCTGAGATGTCCGAGCTATGGTGCCCCACCCACCCTTCAGAAGCTCTCGCATCTCAACCGCATTCTCCTCAGGGCTGTTCCCAGCCACCTGACACAGAGTCCAGCATGGCTTGTTTGATTCTTGAACTATATAACTTGATGATTCACTGTAAGGCAATATCCCCATGTACCATCCCTGCATTACATCATCTACAAAATCGACAACACTCGATCAAGTGCCCAAAGACAGCATACAAAGAATCAAATATCCACCCCCGAAACGAACTGAATCAAATGACCGATAAGTGGGTGACTGCGTGCACTGCCTTCGCTCGAGTTCCCTCGCGTATGCCAGTCTAAAAAACATGCGAAGGTGAGTCCAAACATCACAAAAAGTCTCTTGAAAAAGCATCTTCGTTTCAGTTGGAGTTGTCCCCGAAGGTCAAGCTCTTCATCGGCCTCTGTGAGGGGATGGCTGGACACTCCGAAGTCTGAGGGCTGCACCTGGTGGGAAGGCTAGACATGCAGCTGGAGCGGGATGAAAGGATCACTCGGATCTCCGGAGTCACTCAGATCACCCTTGGGGCGCCCATTTTCTGGCGGGAAAGGCAGACTAGGATAGAAACCTAGGTCGTAGATCTACAACAGACACCTAGCAGCCTGACCATGGTGCACGTGCAAGCCTTTTCACTTTGACCTGAGCCAACATGACGTATTGGGAAAACTGCCGCGGGGGGTTTGCTTGGTTCTGAGGAGCATTTATATCGTTTGCTCTGAAAGGCTACCCACCTAATTGTCATAGCAAGAGCTTTGCAAAAGGTCTTGCGAGTTCACGTTTGTCAGTAAAGTGTAGTCCGAAATTGCATCTAGGGCGCCCAGTCAGTGGCTGTATTCTTTAAAGTTCAAGTGGTACTTCTGGTCAACCGCTATTGGTTTTGGGTCGTATACAGTATATTATAGTCTTATGGTATTTAGACATCTGAATAAGCACAGCAATTTTGAATCTACCAGTATGTTCACCATCAACAACTTGTTCGCCAAGCCTCTTGGAGTACTAACCACCATCCTCCACAAAAGAAGTACGATAAAGCAACCAATGGTTTGTGACTTTCATCCGAAATGCTGCCGATCAACAACTTTGTGTACATGTATAGTTATAGATATACAGTACAGTAGTACAATGTGTGTGTGTGTGTTTGTATGTACAGTATATAATTCTCCAAACCACTTGTTACCGTAAAGTGAAAGCATGTTGAGAAAACCGACCAGGCTTTTCAGCCCAAAAGGAATCACTTCCCTGCACTAATCGCTGCCCAAATCAGGCCCGGAACATCGCCTCGTACTCTTTGATTTCGCCTCCATCCTTCAGCTCCCAAACCTGCCAAAGGCAGGGAAGGCAGCCATCGACTGAGTTAGTCAACTGGTGGGCAAGGAAAAGAATTCCGAAGGCATCTGATCGATTTAGGGAAGCACTTGGTCCAAAACCAGGGATTCAAGGTTGGAACCAAATCAGAAAGCCATGCCTCGTTGGGAGTTCTGAGTTCTAAAATCTCAAGGGCAACTCGGGGAGCCACCCATTCCGCCAGTTTGGCATTGGACCAGGGTTTGGTTCATACATAGATCAGTTCGCAGGGCGCCGAGAATCGAAGCGATTTCGGCACCTTGGAAGCTCCTGCGATGGACAGCTCATCCAGGCCCTCGCAGCCGTGGACCACCAGGGCCCGGCGCATGCCTCCAAAGAGTGAAGATGAGCGAAGTAGAATCTACTAGTTGGATTAGGGTCTGGGTTGATTGATCCTTAGGGTCATTGTCCAATTCCATGTTGCCTGAAGGGAGTCTGGCCTAGCCAAGATGCTTCTGCAGTAGAAAGCTCAAGAGACATGTGACGGCGTGACGTCAGCGACTTCACACGCCTAGAAGCTTGAAGACTTCAACAAAGAGGCGTCCCAGACTGGCAGTATAAACACCTTGTGGATGGATTTTCACGCGGCCCATCGATGAAAAGGTCAGTATGGAAGCTTATGTGGCCAAATGAAGGCGTCATATGCTCACACCTGTTGATTTTGTTGGTGTCCACGATGAGACGTTTGCAAGACTCCATTCCAAGTTCTAGAAAGCATGCATGCATTTGACTCGTCCAAAAAAATACCTGTGCATTTGCAAGGGGCAAGGGACTCATTTGCGACACCAAATCTGACTCATTTGCGACACCACCACCCCCCTGTATTCCTCTCATGTACGACACCAAATCTCTCTCATTCGCGACACAGACACATACACACATATGATTGCAAGCATTAGGTTGGGTGGGACATTAGGTTGGGGTGGGGCATTAGGTTGGGTGGGGGGGGGGGGGGGGGTTTAGGGGTGGGGTGGGACATTAGGTTGTTGGGCTTCAGAGTTTAGAGTGGCATTTGGTGGAATTGGTGTGGAGCTGGATTGGAGCTTTATGACTTTATGAGAACCAAGCAAGGGCCCAGAAGCACACAGATTCTCTAAAAGAAAAGCTCTCCGCGTCACAACTGAGAAAAGCTCTCCGCGTCACATTCGAGACAAAAAAAACGCGTCACAACCGAGACCCTTTCCTTTGCAAGGTATTTGGGGACCGAACCTCCAACTTGCCGCGAGTCAGTCAAACCGAGGCATGACAGTGGTCTTCTTTGGATTTCTTTGGGATTTGACTTTCTGGGATCGAAGGTGTCGAGGTTTCTGCAGAGTCTATAGTCGTGGAGGCAGACCTTTTTGAGGTGTTCTCCCATGGATTGCCATGCTGTTGCTTCAGGCAGCGCCTAATTTGGGTGCACAACCTGAAGAGCAGTCAACAGAGCATTTTCTCTCAAACAAAAGAAGTCCTCCCTTGCAATTCCTGTTCCCATGCTCGCCAACACTTTTCTTGGCACACAAAACCAGCCTAAGGATCCTAAGGGCATGGCCACAAACCATGCCGTCAGGCTTGGCAGGGTTGGTCAGCGGCCCCAAAATGTTGAAGACCTGAGAGTTGAATGATCGGCATTTGCTGCAACATGTTTGTTTTGGCATGTTTTAGCCAGTGGCCCTGCCTCCTTGCTTAATTACGTAGGCGCCTACTTAATTAAGGTGGTAAGCTACTAGCCATAGCAAGCTCCTAGCTAGGATGCAGGAGCTAGGAACTTACTGCCTGCATCTCATTGAAGGTGAGAGGTGAGGTGAAGCAGGCCAAGGTTGGCACGTCCAAGAAGGATTGCAATTTCTCATCGGGTCGCGGTATGGTAGATCTGCAGAGTACAACCGTTCTTCAAGGGAGGCGTGGGACAGCCAACTACATGACAGCTTCCTGAACCAAAGAGGTTGCGACGCTTCGTCTTGCCAAGGAAGACAGCCAATGTCATGATATCTACGGTGTCCCATGCATCGCGCTGTGAAGGTATTCGATTGGTGGCTCAGGTATTCTACGTATGCATCGGGACATGTAGCCTGAGAGAAGCTTGGCTTTAGATGTTCAGTTTCAGTGAGGAAAGCTTCAAATGTCCTCCACTAGGGTGAGAATCAAGTCATGTTGGAAGTTCGCCGCCTGCAACAAGTGACAAAACAGTTCTGTGCCTGTGGGACAAGTGACAAGGGTACCTTCAATTGTTGATATGTTTGCCACCTTTTGAGTGGGTTCTGAATGTTGACTCGTCATCAATAAGCCAACCCCAAACATCAGAACCAGGGTGGTCAAAAAAAGCGATATGTATCCTCAGTCAACATGTGCTTCGTACCTTTCGTTCTACTCCATTCAGGCTTCACTCCAGGGCCAGTGGCAGTTCGAATGCCCAGCTCCTCGAATGCACTTGGACGTTGCGACGGCTCCCAAACAGGATGCTGTTTCACAGATGGCATTCTGGGATGGTTTTTTTTGTGCGCATTCTTCACCACCTCTTGAAATCACCATACACTCTGTCTTCTTTTTTTTCGTTGTGCCCAGGTCATACGAAGAGTTGATTGGCCGATCACATGTCTTTCACAAGTCCAATTGGATGTGTTGTTCTGCACTTGCACCTGTTGAACGTCAAAAGGAAGCTCATGCTTGATGGGCCCGTCCCTTCAGGGTGCTTTTTTGGGTGCACGCAAAGTTTGAACCCTGTCAGGTAGGGCTCGGTCAAGTGCTTCAAGTTCTCCTGTCAATTACACATCTGATCACAGTTTCTTGTTGCCTGCCACTGGACTGGTCAAGAGATTTGACATGATCCAAGTGCATAGGCATAGGCTTAGGGGGTTGTTAGAATACATATCATCTGATTGGAAACTTCCACCGTTTCCTTTGACAAGTTTCTTTTTCATAGATGGTTTCCAGACATTGAAGAAGAAACGAAGAAAAATGGGATCTAAGGGTCCAATGAGGACTCTTTTTCAGGCTTCCTGTAGACAAAATATCACAAAATCGTCCCATATGTGTGTGTGTGTGTCATAAAATTGGGAACTTCCCTTTTTCAGGCAGTTTGTGGAGGGTCTCGATTTCAAGACACACCCCTCTGTGTCCGCTACACGTAGCCGCCAGTCCTTTCTCCTCCCGGTCCGACCCCCGACTCGCTCCAGGCGGATGGGACCCACATGGCGCATGGCCGGATGGTAAGACCTGCACGGCGCATCCCGAAAACGCAGGAATGTCTGACTAGAATTAGATCAGTTAGAGTCAATAGGTCCTGAGTGGTGATGACATGAACCCGTTATAGTTGTATATATATAGTATAGATTATATCTATATATACAGTTGGTGAAGACTTAGTATAATTAATGTGTCCTTTCTCTCCCGGACTCCAAGAGACTTTCCTCTTCGACGAACTAAGTAAAGAACCTCCTGCAGGTGGTGATTAGAATTGATCCAATCCCAAAGGGTGACAGTACCCAAAGCCCGTATCTCAAATACAGAATATCACGAACCATGGATTACATGCCGGTTGGTGGTGACATATTGAAAACCGTCCTTGCCCTCCCGACGAGATTGATCGCGTTTTCTGCTGCCTTGATTGTGCACTATGTGACTCTATGATCTCTACATTCATGCGATGCCCCGAGATCATCCTGATAGGACACCACGTGGAGAAAATCCAGTTGCCTATGTGTGGTAAGTATTGAGTTTAGGGTCAGGATCGCATCTAGTTCCTTTGTCCTTGGAGTCTAGCAGTCTAGCAAGCACCTTGTCCAGTTGCAGGTTGCACAAAACAAGGTCACATGTGATTCAAGCTAAGTCCTGCAAAGCCATGCTTGACAGTCTGGCAACTCTCCCTAATTGTTTGCTCAAACGCATGGGATCTTTGAAGCACGCCGCATCCGTCGGCCCCTTAACTTCGTCACAGCTCCTGAGAATCCGCCTTGCGAAGAGAAATGCAAAGCTCCCAGCGGCCAAGACGGGCGCCACCTGGAAGATGCGAAAAAGCAGAGAATGTTCGACGACCCGACGACCTGTGAACAAGCGCGGTTCAGACGACCCAGGTGTTTAGCGCGGGTAGCCACCTAATTAGTTTAGCTCAAGAAAGCAACGACCCAGGTGTTTAGCTGCTTGAATTGAAGCGGCACTACCTTGGAAACATGGTCAACCAGTCAACCCCCTTAGGGGTGTTCATGGAACAAGAAACTAAGATAAACTATATATATATATATGTATGAGTATTATATATTTCCCTGGCTCCTGGCCTTACTACTAGCAAGGACGCTACTAGGGGCTCCTGGCCTCGCTACTAGGAACACGGACGCTACGACTGGGGCCCCCTTTTCAAAGTCGGATTCTCCGCCAGCTCGGCCCTCGGGTCGCTCCGGATCCCTCCGGCCTCGGCAGGGCCCAGTTCCAGTCGAGCGCCCAACGCCTGTGGCGGAAGAAACCGAAAAGGCGATGGTTCGAACGCGCATAGTAGCGTCCGCGTTCCTAGTAGTAAGGCCAGGAGCCCCTAGTAGCTTCTTGCTCCTAGTAGCGATGCCTTTTGCTCCTAGTAGCGTCCTTTGGATGGGTGTACGTGAAAGGGGGTGAAGACGAAATGACTCTTGCAGAGATACACATCATTAAATACGGTATCAAATTATATGTCACTCTGCTATGTTGACGATATATCCAAACACTATACATATATATATATATTATATTGGTACAGACTGGGCCGAGCGGGAAAGAATATGTCTTGCGACATCATTCAACAAGGATCAAGCATCAATGTGCAGCGGACTCCGCCAGTCATTGATGTCAAGTTCCTGGAGTGGCATGGCTTCCAAGTCCTCCTCCCAAGGAGGAATATGTGAGCGAACCCATAGCAACTAAGTCTTTGAAAGATACCCAAAGCCTGCCCAAAGTTGGAGTTGGTAACATGCTAAAGCCGCCTTCAGAATAGACCTTAAGGCTCCCAAAAGCTCACCCGAATCCATATAAAAGGTAAAATAACTATATAAATAAAACGTTATTAAATGAAAAGATGCTTCTAAATTCTTTTACAAACTGTTTGTCGTTTCACAAGTGCCTCAAGAATGTCCGCGGCGCCGCTCTTGGAGGACGCTGCGCGGTTCCCGTGCTTCACGATCCGGGCCTGGCGATTACAAGTTTGCACGCGTCGCGTGGCTACATTTGACCGTTCCAACAGGAAAAGATCGCTTTGTCAATTTCATGAAGGCCCAGTCTTCTGTTTGGCCTTATCACCAAGAAGACCAACGAGAATTCACTCATGTTTGTAATCTTTTCAGGGTGGTCATGAATTGGCCAAATCCTCGCAAGGCCGAACAACTCCATTTCACACCCTGGTTCCGCACAGTGGGTTCTGCATGTGGTTGCCGCAGAATGATACTGTACGTACATTTATTGTTCTTCACGTTCTCAGACGGTCAATCCAGTAACGAGCCAGTCAGTCCTCTGAGTCATAATCATTCTCCCCTCCACGTCTTGTACTGAGTCACCCGCACCCCAGCTCCGGCTGCCAACAGCCCAGCTGCAGTGGAAATGTTGAAGGTGTCCTGTCTGGAGCTGGAAAGGCCTGAGAAATAAACCTAATGTCTCAATCTATCTCAACTTGTTTAGTGTCCTGATTCACCCGCTTCTACTTCATCCGGACAACTCCAATAGTCGTCCATGACCATTCCATCCACCACGAAGCACAACTCGCATAACCTAGGATCTAGGACATGGTTTTGGTTCAGGCTACCCTGCTGCTTTCTCTCAATTCTCTTGCATCTCCATGCCATCACAGCTCTTGGAAGAAACTCAGAAGATACACACGTCTCGCAGAGCTGAGCAATGATAAATACATGATTGATGTTCTTCCATGCTCAAACACATCAAAACATTCAAAAGACACCCCGCTCACTGTGGAGAGCAACAGATTCAATAGATGATTAGGCCGTCTCTCTCTCCCAAAGCGTGTCTCTCCTGGCCATCTCCACCGGTTCCCACGATGTCGACGATAGGGCCATCTGAACGTGGCACCTGGTATGTATGGTGGCCTTTGTCTAGATCGGTGAACACGCAAATGGCAATGCGTGGTTGGCTGTGTGTCAAAGCCTCCTGAAAGGAAACCAAAACCAAAACCAACCCATGTATCTCAAAAGAGACCGACGGCACGTAGGACCAGGCTGTAGATATCGTGTCCGTGGTGTGGAAAAGGACCAGAAAACGAGTCGGTTCTTCGTCCCGGACTTTCTGAGTGCACATTGTTCGCATGTTGATCCTGGCGCTCAATGTGTCGGATAAACCTCCACCAACGAGCGCCGAGCCTCCACTGTCAGGGCATTGGAGCGCATGACATCAGCGAGTGAATGGACCTGTGCGAATAGTGGCTTGAATGTACAGTACATAGGACGCCGTTCAGCCTTTGGTGCTTCATCAACTTGCTTATTTGATTGCATAGCAAATATTGGCACTATGAAAACGTGAACCTGGGAGCCGGAGCTGCCTTTGTTGTGGGACCCTGTGGAGTTGTCTTCATCTCAAACACAGAAACATGGACTGTGTGTCTCATTGTGGGTGACAAGGGAACTGCGCAAAGAGATATATTTCTATACTGTGTATGTGTATATATATATATATATGGTGAAGGATCAAAGAGAAGCCGAAAGGGGTCAAGAATGTCGTGGCATGCTATCCATGCGAGGTAAAGTGTTCCTTACCCTGAATAGAAAAGAGAGAGAGAGAGAGGGAAGAGGGAAGAGAACGGAAGCTAATAAAGTCAAAAGTCCAACGCACATAGGCATAGGTTAAAACAGTAGAATCAAAAGAGCTTTAGATGTTTGTATAGTATCAGAATGAATGGGATGACTATAGTGGTCATCAGGGCTTCGAGTACAAGAGAGAATAGGGACGGCCATCAAACAGTGAAAGCACAAATGGACAGTTGGGAGCAAAAAGATAACATCAAAACACCAAAGAGAAAGGCAAGAAAGGCAAGAAAGGAAGGAGGGAGGGAGGAAGGAAGTGCTGAAGCACCGAGACATCTGAGACGCGGAAGAAGCAATCCGCAAAAGTGCAGCATCACATCTAAGGCCTTTGCACCAATCAGCTTGGTGGCTTTGCCTTCTTGTTTGACCATTTGCGGCCTTCAGCTGGTTTTCGCGTCCGTCCGTCGGTCGGTCGGTCGGTCCGTCCGTCCGTCCGTCCTTCCTTCCTTCCTTCCGTCCGTCCGTCCGTCCGTCCGTCCGTCCTTCCGTCCGTCCGTCCGTCCGTCCGTCCGTCCTTCCTTCCTTCCTTCCTTCCTTCCTTCTTTTCCTGCTTTCCTCCCTGCATGGCTTCCTTCCTTCCTTCCTCTCGTCTGATCTCATTTGGCATCCTTGGTGTTCTTGCTGCAAAATAGTGTTTACTTATGTTTAATTGCCTCCATTACTTGATTTACATGCAGACTTCTCGTGCACACATGCATTTCACTTGGATGTTCAGCCTTGTTCCCTGCCGGGCCATCCAACACCGGACTCAGACAGTGGCTCAGGAGTCTGGGATGCCGGACAATCTCCGAGCTACACTTTTCCAGCCTTAGCTGCTCTAAACCTGGGGGTGACTGCTCTACCCTTTAGGCAGTCGGGTTCTTCCTTCACCGTGGAAGCTTTGATCCCTTTTTTCATCCTTCTTCCCTCTTCAGTTGTTTGACCCTCCAAGGAGTTGCTGGTGACACATACTGGCGTCAATTCCCCCAAGAAGGGACTGCGAATGAAGGGTTTGGATGAGAAAGAAAAAGCTCTAAACGTCAAAAGTACCTTCAAGTCCAGTCCAAGGCCTCTCATCACTCTTCCCATCACCTGCAAATCCTGCTACAAAAACACCAAAGAATGGACGATGACAGGCACACCCATGCGCCCACCTTAACAACTCCGGAAAGCTTTTACTGACATCCTGCCAGCTGGCATCCTTCCAATAGTTCTTGTGGCAAGAATTGTTGGCTCTTGCCAGATCAACCACTTGATTGGCATAGAGGCATCCTTAGTGGCCCTACTGCCACCCACATTGGGGTCGGGCCCTTGGTTCCAACTCTTCACTCAGCTCCCACACGTCAGCAAGGCCAAAAAGGCACCCACTTGTGCAGGACTCGCCTGGGAGGAATTCTACGTCATGTGGCACAACTCCCCTGGACCTCGGGAGCTTCGGACCTCTTTGGATGTCCGGGTGCTTTTGGAGTCTTCCAAGTGACAAAGAACATCTCAACGAAACAGGTAACAAGGGCATTGCGGCATTACTACTAGTAGCAAGAAGCTACTCGGGGCTCCTGGCATTACTACTAGTAGCAAGAAGCTACGAGTAGATGACTGGGGCAAAGGACCACCTTGCAGGCCCACCCGAAGTAGCTGAGCTTCCCTGCTTCTCCACCCATGATCTCCCGCATGGCCAGGCTGGCCTTCAATCCAAATGCAGCATTGTTCAATTGCCAACACCCTCATTAATAAATGGAGCATGTCGAACTTTGTGACTAGTAGCCTTGGCTACTAGAAGCTTCTTGCTCCTAGTAGCGATGCTTTGTTACTAGTAGCTTCTTGTTTAATTTCCACCAATCGAGCCATGATCTCTGAGTTGTAGAGTGCATCAAAAGTCGGCGAACCAAGGTGAGCTTCCGTGTGCGCCCGCGCTTTCTATCCACGTGCCCGACCTCCTCGCCCGTCAGGTTGGCCCCAGACGCCAGGGCCTTGACGCATGCCTTCACAGCGCCACCTCGTGAAACGGTGGCCGGGAGCAGGGTACCGAACAGGGAGCCTGGCGTCATAAAGGGGGTGCTGGGTGCCACGCAACTTGGATTGGTCAAAGGTAGGACATCAAAACCTGAAGGACTTCACCTGGTTTTTAACAAAACCACAACACTGAGACTTAATCTGGTAGGACTGGCAACAAAACCGAAAGATCTTATGAGATCAGCCTTTACTCTCCTGATGTCTTAGGGGATGCTGCTCCAAGTGGTGCTTCCCGGCAATTGTGGTGATCGATCGCCAGCACTGATCCACTTTTGGGCGGTCACATCTAGGTCAACGGCCAGCAGCATTCTAAAGGAAGGCAGAAACGTCCAAAAAGACTGGGCCTATTTTGCTTTCGGATGAGCCAACGGGTAATGCGCCAAGGCATGAACACCTGCGCGGCCTTAGGCCGCAACCAGCTGGCTTTGTCTTTTTGGGGTCCGGCGCCGACATCGCGAGTGATGAGAATCAACTGGTGCTTGGGAATCAATGGGTCGATGTTGCATCCAATGTCTGGGGGACTCTTTACACAATATTGTGAAACCTGCTGGGAAGGGCATAGAATTGCGGATGGAAGTGCATGTCTTGCTTTCCAAAAATGAACCCAGCAGGGTGTTCCACCGAATATGGACTTCCACAGGCTATGGAATTTCGAGATTGACATGCTGCTGCTGGGCGATGATGTTGTTTGCTGACAACCTTTTTAAGCGCCCAAAAACGGCTCAAGCCAAAAGCTGAGGGGCGGAAAATCTGGGCAAATGTTGGCACGTCGTATTGTTCCACCAACGGGGGGAAGGAAAGAACTGACTGCTAAACTGATCAAACAACATCCTGATCAGTCTTCAAGCAGCAATGTCTACTGAGTCTGCTGTATCATAACTCCAATCGCCCTGTGTAGGTCTTTACCACATCCGAGTCTAACAGCACATTTTCTTCGCACCCCTTTGCATGAGGGTGGATGTTCTGGGGCCTCAGCATGTTGACAGCGTGTTTTTCGTCGGTCACAAAACAGATCCGACTGCCAAAGACCCTGGATGTTGACAATGCACAACCGATGTTCTATTCAGAACTCCTGAAAGGTGGCAGCCAAGTTCACTGCAGCTGTCAGTGAAAGATGTGAAAGTAGTGATGGTTTCGGGATCCCACTCGACAGTGGAACAAATTGGAGCACCTGTGAGCAGAATCACCAGCAAAGCAAGCTGCTTGTTGCATTATTTCCCTTGCTATACTCTGTTCTGGGTCAAGAGAGCCTTCAATTACTGTACTGGTCAGAAAACAAAAAAAAAGTCCTCACTTGCCAGACCATGTTAGCAGGGTATCTATTATAAGGTGCAGTCACTCCAAAGGACTTCAAGATTAATCAGAGTGTTGTAAGTGTTGTAGGTGACGTCCTGAAAACCCAAAAAAACAACCAACCAACCAACCAACCAACCTACCTACCTACCTACCAACCAACCAAGACTCCAAGTGCCACTCGCACACCAAAACATGAGAGGGAGCTGGTTTTGCTTTGCACACCTGGGCACCCGGCTATGCCACAAGGCTCTGCATCTGGCGGGGAAGCTGGTAGGGTTTCCCACCCCAGAGCCATGTATCCATGAGGTCGAATCGATATGTCAAGATTCCATCAGATTCCATGTATGGGTCTTGGGTGTGGGCAAGGATGTGTTCCCTTCAGGGATTCTCACCGAGTGCCTTGGATCTCTGCCTTACCCCTTCACCCAGCCTTCTTGGCTGCATCGCCAGCTGCCGCCCTAGCCTGCCAAATCTTGTTCAATTCTGATGACAATGTTACATTTTTGACTAAAACCGCCAAACGCACAGAATGGTGACCCAGATTGGTCTGGAGAATTTGGGATCGTTGACTTGCCATAACGGTGATGGGTTTATGAAAGGTCCAAGTTTGAATCATTCCCTTCCTTGAACATTCTAGCAACCATTCATCTTGTCTCAAATATGGAAGGGATGTCCCCAAATGTCAGATCTTGACACCCATGATAGCTAAGCTCGAAATGAGGGAAGTCAGTCTTCCGGTATTCCATTGCTTCTCCTGACACGAGTAGAGCATCCGTCCGAGACATAGCACATTCCTCCGAGGCCTGAACATGGACGAGCGTGAACACGGGCGCTTGTCTGCGTATCATACTGGATTGCCTTTTATCATGTCATGGTTCACCATGAATTTTCAATATATGCACAAATAGAGTTGAGGTTCCCCAAAAATCTAGGAACCAAATGATTAGTGCGAGCGCTTCTTCAAGGAAGCTCCCCCCGCCCTCAGGCGGGGGGAAGCTTCCTTGAAGCGTGAGCTATCCTGCGTCTAGTAGTAGCGTCTCAGCAGCTACGAGCGAACAAATGTGCCCTTACTTAATTAAGTAGGTGCCTATTCAATTGAGTAAGGAGGCAGGGCCACGGGCTTTAAAAAAAGAAAGACCCTGCCCTGCCCCAAGGACTTCTGGAACGTCTTCCAATGCCTCTTCCAGTGTGGAGCCTTGAGCCACCTGACTCGTTACAGGCCGAAAAACGTTTCTGGGAAGTGAAAGAATCAGGAGGGTCTTTGAAAAAGAATACCTTTGAGAAGGCCTGGTGATTTGACACCCACATGACATCACCAACTTTCTCATGCCTGGTTTGCCATCTGCTGTGCTTGCTGGCGGGCTACATCAGCTGCATCAGCTGCCTGCGACGCTCAAAGTCAGCGGTGCAGTGTAAACCTAAATGAGATGGATCTCCAAGGAGCGACAGAGAGAACAGCTTATTGTTAACATTTGTCAAATTTATATATATATAACTATTTATATATATATATATGTGTGTGTGTGTGTTTGTGTGTGTGTGTGTGTCCAGCAATACCACCACAAAATTGGATGAATTGGTATGTTTTGGTGACTTTGCTTCAGGTGAAACCTCCAGCAATTTGGCAACGCCTGGGACGTATTCATGTGCTCGTTGCATCTCGTTGCCCGACTCCCAGCCGAACGGGCTTCGAAAGATCCACCTGCTTCGCTTGTTCCTGGGCGACCTCTGCGGCCTGACCGGCAAATCTGTTGTCACTGTGGGCGCGGCCAGCAACGGGGTGGTCTCTGACCAGTATACACCAAACCAGTACTGCTGGCTGCATGCCAACTTTCTTGGAACCTGTCTAGGTTTGCTGCTCCCGCTCATTCCTTTTCGGTCTCCCCTCTCACACCATCATGAAAAGAGAGAAAAACGCCATCCTGATTGACGATGATGCGAAAAAAACAGCTGTCTTGCCTGGCTGGCCACCTGCTTCGCTTGTGCCTTTGCAACCTCTGCGGCCTCGGCAGCCTCCGTTGGTTGACACGGCAGGTCAACTGAGCATGGCAGGTCTACGGGGAGACGGACGGAAACCGGATGGAGACCTGTCTACGGGGAGGGCGGATCCGGAAATGTCTGGAATGTCTGGAGTCCGTCAGTGCTTTGTTTTCAGGACAGGCTAATTCCAAGTGTCAATATGGGTACCCATATCCACAGGAGTATCTCTTGGAACAAAGAAACCGCAACTGCCTAGTGGAACCCTCCAACTGTCAAGAACCTATACTAAGGTGGTAGAGTAACAGGATAAAAGTCGAGTTTTGCAGAAGCTCACCTGCTAATTCCAATTTGACTTGTTTGACCTGTCCAACCCCTGAGAGATCTAATACTGTTGATCCAACTTGCACTCTATCATCTCTAACGACAGTGAGTCACGTCGCAGAAGCCCACACAGAAGTGCAACTTGTGCCCCTTGCGGAATGATTCTCCCCTGCAACTGGCTGAAGAGCTCGTGCTCTTCAGGATGCTATGATCTACTGAATCTACTGTTTGGCATGCAATCACCCATTGTAAGAGGTAGGAACTACTATATCTACGGCATGACCATACCACTCCCACCCAATGGGCAGGGATCCAGTTTCCCAGAAATTTGCAGTCGCAGTCGCAGCCCCTTGCCTGTTCCATCAACGCCTTGATTTGAGTCAGCATCTTCTCAATTTCCTCGCAAAGGCTAGTGCTGCAGGCTCGTGAGTTCGTTTGTCAAAGATCGAAACATTGGTGAGGAATTGCGCGGCACAGCTCGCCTCTTCACATGCTGAATCCAACCAAAAACCGCAATGAGTCATGAACAGAGCAGTGGACTCAGGTGCTGTTGAACTCGCAAAAGATGAGAGGAATCTAAAGGACCAAAGCAGGGAGCGCTCTGAAATTCAGCGGAGCGGAGCCCGTCGCGGTGAATTTCACGCGCCTCCCCCCGTTTGCTTCTCCAAGAGGGCCGCTTTGCGCCGAGCCTCTTCAATCACCTACCGCTGGGCGGAAACAGCCATGGCACAAGATGATCACACCAAATCTCCGCATTGACCCATTACAACCAATTATTGAACTGGAATCCAACATGCGAAAGACTTGGCCATGGAATGCAGACCTAGCCTATGTGTCATCCTCAGCTGAGTTTCTGGCTCAAACGCCAGAGCTCAAACGGAAAGTTTGACAGACTGAGACTGAGAGAGCCCAAACTCTCAAGAATGATCGCTTGTTGATCTGCAAAGAGCGATACTCCGAGTCCCGGTTCACCCAAGTGAGCCCAGCCCATTCTATTCATAGCCCCATCATCTGGACAAAGCCGGCGATCTTCGTGAAAGCTACGGCTGGAGCAGAATAATGACCATATAAAAAGGTGTCTATTATGACCTCTATGTATGTACATTGTTACTAGTAGCTTTTTGTTTCTATTAGCTTCTTGTTACTACTAGTAAGGCACTTGTTACTAGAAGCGATGCACTTGTTACTAGTAGCTTTTTGTTTCATATATATATATATAGGTTCCGGTTTGGAAGTGGTCGCTACACTTCAGCGATAGTCGCCACAAAACAAACATGGCCAGACCGGCCAGACCGCCGCACAAGCCTGCCGACCCTGCCGACCCAAATGGAATGGTTTCAGACCAGTTTCGTTGCAATCAGAGGTTGTCATCTACCTGGTGGTCACCCGACCATGTTTGCGAGAGTGTTGCATCTCTCCCGACCATCCGACCATGGTGGCCTCTGATCCATGTGCTTTGGCTGCCTCCAGGTTACCTGACGACAAGGCGCCATGTGGGTTCTCTGGAACTTGTTGACGGCCCCAAGCATTACCAGTTCCCGCATCGCAGCCCAATAAGACCAAAAACCGTGTAGCATGAGATTGCTTGATGGTACGCTATATTACTCCATGCATCAAATAGCGCTTGTTGCCGTCAGTCTTGGAGACAGTATTGCTGCATCTTTGCAAAGCACCCTGATTCCTTTGTGTTTGGAGCGGTTCTCTTTATAGTGCTCACTTTGGCTGTTCTCAGACACCTGCTGTGGCCAGGAAAAAGGCTACAGCATCTCCACAAACTCATTAGCTAGTCAACGCAACCATCAGAATAGTTTCATGTCCTGTTTACTTTGATTGGACAACATATTGCACAAGAATGGTACTTTGTGAAGATTCAAGAATCCTGAACC